GGGCGCAGAAATAAGTGTATCACGTCCTATTCAAACCATAGGGACTCGGTATTTAAACCTCCGGGTAAAAGGATACCTGCATCACCATTCGTGGTACCTACATGTACCATGCATCTCACATATATATGTCCCGTCCCAGTCGCAAACACTAATTATTGGCCAATGGGCCATAATTGGTGAACGAGCTCTTACTTTTCGCTTATAGGGGATTTTACTATATGATTCTCATCCTTTTCGGCGGAAAGTTGTTGGCCCTAGTTACATGTAATTAGCTATTTATTAAAGAAATATTTATTTGCATTACTTTTGTAGACCTAGGATGGTAGTATATCGGGGGCAATGGTACATACATGTAGGTATGGTAGAATGTGTTCTTTGAGTTTCTCAGTTGTTAGGCGATGGCTTTTGGAAGTTTACATATGTAGACAATATTAACAATCACCGCTATATATTAGTCAACTTTGGTCAAATTCTGGCAGGCATTGGCCAGCCGGACAGAAGATCAGTGACTGTTTGTCAAATCTCAGGAAGCATTGGTCAATAGGCAATATTTGTCGACAGGATGGCCAGTTAGGCAATGGGCCGGCCTGTTGGCCAATGTGATATACTCGTGACTGGGACGGAACATATACATGTACTTAATGTGGGGATGTTCCACCAAACGCTTTTCGGATTAACAAGTACGAACCAAATCCAAACTACAATTTGTTCTGAAAGAAAAACCAAGACTCCTATTTCCTACAATAATACAAATGCCATAATATGTAAACAGAAAAATGAGCTGCATAGTACAGTGCTCCCCAGAAGACTGTATTATTTACTTAGAATCGAGTTTATCGAGGATCTCTTTTGCTTTCATAACCTCATTGTATGAGCCCATGAAGATTCCCGACCTATCATGAATGTGCTCAGGTACAAGGTCAAGCATCCTCTGGCGGTCACTGGTAATTGCCAATCCGCCAGCTAAATAATCGCGATTAGCTACTAATTATAAAAGCCCTCAGGGAACTGAATGTTTAAAAAGGAACTTACCATTCTCCATGACCATTGCCATAGGCGCACACTCATAAAGAATTCTGAGCTTCCCCTTGGGGCTCTTCTTGTCCGCAGGGTAGGCAAAGATTCCGCCATAGCACAATGTTCGGTATGCATCCGCGACCATAGATCCGATATAACGTGCGGAGTAAGGCTTTGCGCCTGCCTCAGCAGGGTACTTGATGCTCTCGAAGTATGCCTTGCAACCTTCAGTCCAGTATAGAGAGTTTCCTTCGTTGACAGAGTAGATTGAGCGTGATTTTGGCATTTTCATCTTTAAGATGTTAGTAGAGGATATTCCAAGGAAAGCACGTGGGAACTAACGTCGGGATGGGTGAGAATGAATTCTCCAAGAGCGTTGTCGAGTGTGAAACCATTGACATTTCCTCCCTTCATGGTAAGCACCAAGTTGGCTGAAGCACCGTACATGGTGAATCCAGAAGCCACCAATTCAGTTCCGGGAAGTAGAACATCTTCCGCTTTCCCAGTCGCACCGTCGTCAAGTTTAAAGATTCCGAAAATTGTTCCAACTGACACGCCAGCGTCCAAGTTGGAAGAGCCGTCGATAGGATCACAAACAACAGCGTACTTGCTGTTACCGGGGAATATTATAGCTTTATCTTCTTCTTCCGATACAAGAACCTTTACTTTACCGCAACCACGCATGGCATTGATGAAGATGTCGTTACCGATGACGTCAAGCTTCTTTTGGTCGTCTCCAGTAGAGTTGGCAGAGCCAGCAAGTCCGATGAGCTATGAAGAATATAAGCTCTCTTGTCTTTTTCCACCTATAGAACCGAACACTTTATATACTTACGTTAATCAAAGTCGCACGGCGGATATAATAGCTATGCGATTAAGCTTAGGTTAGCTCTCGAGGAACTTCTATAAATCTTTAATGAGGTTTAACGTACGCAATACTCTTGAATGAGAATTGTAGAGCGTGGCATAGTAGTCTGTTCCCACGATATTATGAGCTTTCTATAGACAGTATGATATTTTAAATAGTGGTAAAGCGCACGTAAAGTCACCGGTAGCATATGAACCAAGATCATGCTGGGCCTCAGTAAGGTAACGGGTCAAGGTGATGATGTCGGTTTTGATTTCTGCGTCCGCATTTGATTTGCCGTTTGACGCCATTGTGAATTGAGTTCTGGATTTATGGACGGGATACGAATAGAGTGAGAATATCAGAATCAGTAGGGCAAATAACGTTCAAAGCGATGGGCCAGAAGAGATGATGAGATGAGCTGCTGTATAAAGAGAGTTTGAAATCCTGCGAGCTATTTAAATAAGCTCGGGACTAGGGAAGCACACAAGGAACAGCCATTCCTCGTCCCGAATTGCTGCGATTACCGAGCTCTACCCAGCTCTACCCAGCTCTGCACACGATGCGAACAAGGCCCGTGCTACATAAAAGTTGGGTACACGATGCCCTTCTATTCTTTTCCTCGACTTTTCCGTCGTTAGCCGCCGTTCTTATCTTTTCTTTTTCTTGAATTGTTCCGTCTTTGATATGCATCAGTTATTGAGTATGTAGAGTGGACGCAGGATCCATCCCAGCCAGCTAGAATCTAAAGGTGACCCGCAAAGTTTGATCACGGGTACAGCCCCTCTGCTCCCACGCACAGAAGACAACTACTGCATATAACTGACCCCCGCCTATCCCAGAATCTGTCAATTAAGCAATCCCTTCTTCCCCCGGACCTCCGATCCATCGCGAGATTTCGGCAAGGTAAGAATCCAGACATCAACCGGTGCCTTCCGAGATTTTCCGCCACCGGAAATGTTCATGGCCGAGGTTGAAGATCAATTGTTTGGTTCGATACAGCGTTTAAAGGTCTGAGGTATTGCGCAAGGGATCATCGGACATAGTCTTAGCCTTATTTAGCCGGGCAATCATTGGTAGATCTCCACGTGATCGATATTTAAGTAAGCATTACCGGCACATACATGTATGTAGGGCTGAGGGCGAAGGGTCGGGGACCAGGTTAAGGGTTAAGTCGATTTACCAGTCCCATGCCTTAAAGTTGCCAAGGCGGTGAAAAAAATTACTTGAGCTACAAATAGAAATTTTCCATGCGCTCCACACTTTTTAACCTTTTTCAACCTCATCACCATCATAAGCATCACAAAAGTCGTCAATACACAATGCAGCAGGTAAGCAATTGTCCCCCACTCTTTATGAATGTCTTCCCAAATCCCCACAATCGTTCGACCAATGGTTTCTTTGGTGATGATTTGTACAACCGCATAACTAGAGTCTTTGACTTCTTCCCAACGGGTTGAGGCGTGAAACTACTTTGCACGTCAGGCTGATATCGAAACCTCCATCATCACTTTGTCCCTCACACTGCAAGAGACTCTATTGGTTCTTTGCTAACTGAAATAGATGAGTGTACATAGGAACACAATGCTAACCTCGATCAACAAGAAAGCAGCAAAAACTCTATGGTAAGCCCCACTCCTCCCTTATGCCTCACTACCCTTCACACTTGCCCTGTTCCAGTCCCAGATCGCAGAGATGAACAATTTGACAACTATATACGCTGGAAATTACCGTCCAAGTGCTTCGGCGCGTTGCGGAAATAAAATGGCTATTTCTGAGCTTTCAATTCCCTACACTCTTTAATATACGTCGAACAATTTTTTTTTTTCCTTATACTAACTTTTATCTATTTCAGGTGAACCATGGATGCATCAACGAATGTAAGAACACTTCTTCTTCCTTTGTGAACATCGTGCGTGCGGGCCATCTTGAAGGATGATTTGCAAGAGCACTGGTCTCTGAAATCTAATGATCGAGACGCAACTTCGGCATGGGCCTCAGAAACCCTGCCACCCTGACATCTTGCCCGCACTTGTTGTCATTTCTGCTACGTTATCGTAGGGGATGGTTCATTACTGACATTTATGTTTTTAATTAGTAATGAGAATATATTTTCCGCACATAGACTCAATAACCAAAAGGTAAACCATCTCTTGTTCCTGTGCTTTCTACCCCTCCAATGATGATATCCACTTTAGATGACGAGTCATATCTGGCATTTTGCCAATGACGAGAAAAACTTTTAATACCATTCATGCAATATCTGAGCTTTCAGCTTTACCCTCTTAAATATAAGCAACGCATCAAATTGACAATTTGCTAACTAGTTTTTTTCTTTCTAAGATACAGGGGAAAAAGGAGAATTTTATCTATTTATGACTAACACCAGGCTTACAGCTGTACCATCAACTGTAAGATTCCTATTTGTTTTTAACTTTGCCCTACCCTATTCTGTATGATGATATTTCCTTTACAAAAGACAAGCATATGTCCGAGCTGGAGTAGCATCCTTGCAAAAGACGAAAACTTGGAACGTCTGACTTTTGCCCGCTTATTCTCCCCATTAATCGTTTTTGTTCCTTTTTACAAAGACTAACATATTCTAGAAAATAATACTTTAGGACTCTTTAACACCCACTACTCAATATCCACCCTCAAAGGTTAGTCAATTCCCCTTTCCTTCCTTTTATCCTCCTCCAAAGAAGCATCTTATATGATGATACCCCTTCTACAATCTCACGACGGTCTTCATAAGCCCCCGCCATACGTGGGGTATTGATGAATCTGCCCTTTGACCGGGGCCGTAGCCTGATATTATGTTTCTTTTTTGTTTTTTTCAAACAACACGTCTCTTCACGATTCGATGATGAAACACCATTCTAACTTGGGCTTCTTTACAGATAATAAACTCAATGTGACGTTTCTTTGGGCCAGGTTGGTATAGACCAATCTAGATTATTTAATTATCTACAAATCATAGTAATAATAATAAGAATAATAATACTAAAACACTTGTCCGTGATCTTAAGAACTTTGTGCCTCAAACTCGCGTGTGATATGTGATTCAAATGGCCAACAGTAATAAAACAAGCATCTTAACAGGAGATTAATTATAGTAAACGTAGCGATACGCTAATTAAGGTTTGTTTCTCTTTGAACGCCTCTCTCCTGTGCTGTTTTCTGCTTTCCCATTCTCCCCACTCCTCTTCTTTCCTCCTCTGCTTTCGAGCTTTTTCTTAGCAGCTTGGAATTCCTCCTCTGTTGGTTCCGCGGCATCTCCGTCTAGATCCTCGTCGACAGCTTTTCTGCCCCTACCTGTCTTCCTGCCTTTCTTCTCTTTCTTGACCTCACTTCCATCAACACCATACTTAGCTTCCAAACTAGCTAGAAAGCCTGCCTGTCGATCCGCCTGCCGGTTCTTGATCAGGTTCTCGAGGGCGGATGTGTCGTCCTCCTTCTTTGCTTTCGTCTTCTTCTCAACTCGCGTATTAGGCCTACCCGCCGGCTCAGCCTTTTTCGCAGTTCTCCCCTTTCCTTTACCGCTTGTACTTTCTGCAGTCTCTTCATCCTCGTCTTCCTCGTCCTGGGCTTCATGCATTTCCACGTCTCCCACTGCCTCTGCAGCTTCCTGCTCTTCCTTACGTTTCTTTTTCTCTCCAAATAACACGTCCCATACGCCCAACTCCTTTGCGTACTCCTCTGCTTCTTTCTTCTCACTCTCGGCCAAGTCCCGTCGTGCCTTCTTAGATTTCGCAGACTCCTTGGTAAATGCTCTGTAGGATTCTACTTCGCCGGCATCGATAGCTTGCTGGATCATTATCCTGAAACGATCCTCATCATCGAGAACGCTGGAAACCATGACGCGCTGAAATATCTCATCGAGGGAACCTTTAGTATCTGTATACGCCTGTAGAACTGCTGAACGCTCCCCGTCCGATCCTATATTTTGTAAGAATTGGTATCAATGATTCGCATAGGAGTAACAAACCTTGGTACTCCTTCTTAAACTTCTCTACAGCCTCTGGACTCACGAGATCCTTTACCTGAGCTCGAAAGAAATCCTTCCAGTCAAAACCCTCTTCAAAGACATCCTCACTTGTGCTTCCTGTAGCATCATAGCGTGCACGCCGGTCCTCGTTGTTTAAAATGGCGTATGCGAAGGCTATCTCTTGGAACTTGACATGCGCAGCTTCACGCTCTGCGGGTGGCACTTTGTCGGGATGTGTTTGAAGCGCGAGACGGCGGTATGCAGCTCGTATTTCATTTACGGTAGAGGTGGGTGGGATGCAGAGGACTGTGTAAGGGTTTATAGAGGAAGGCGGCAAAGGGAAGCTGCCTGAATCTGCGGTGGAATTATCTTCGGAGTCTGACATTGTTGATTTCTCTATTTCTAGAAAGACAGGTGGTGGATTTTTGGTTGTGGAGGAGTTGGGAGCACTTCAGAGTAGGAGGATCCACGGTAAATTCCCAGGGTGAGACGCGTTCTGGAAATGGAAACGCGCCGATTTGAGTTAGCGAAATCGTGGCTTGGAAGGGACGTGATTCGGGTAAGTGTGGGGTCCCAAGCGAGGTAGGTGTCGGGTCTTGGGTCTGGATGTTCTGCATTTTACGTCTGAGAGCTCGAGCCACGCACATGTATTTACTATCATTTCTATTTCTCTCATTTGAAGATCTCACGAGTTAAGGTCACTGAACACCAAAACTACACTTAAGTTCTATATCGTGGCTGTGGAATCTAATCCAATGCTTTTTGAACAAAGAAAAAAAAGAATGAAAGAATAAAACCGCGCCTAAGTATCGTACAGTAATAGTTGTTAAAATCGCCACTCATCGATAATAAAATCCCCTGCCTTGGTTTTCCTTGTCCACCAAATACCGCTAAACTCCAGACCCAGTCGTACCGTTACTATCTCGTAACACCCGGTTTGAGAAAATGATTAAATTGTTTATTCAAGCAGCGCCGCTGCAAGAATTGTTAGCATTTCTGTTATACACTCGCGCAATTTAGAAAGGAATACATACACCAAGATATTGTTGACGGGAATGTGAATAAGCTTAACAATGAAGCCAATGGCGCCCATGACAACGAAACCGATACCAACGGCCTGTGAGATCTTGATGAACTCTCTCTTATCCGCTATAGTAAGTAATAGATGTTAGCGCACTGGAGTTGAGAAACTGCGATAGAACAATGAAGGCGGCATACGCTTAGTGCATCTGTTGATGAATAGGGTTCCATCTTTAAGGAACTCTCTGGGGATCTCGGCGAATTGTGCAAATTGGTCAGACATTATGGATGTATTTGAAAGAACGGCTTTGAAGGAATGGTTGGTATCAAGTGGTGGTAGTGGTCGCAGTATGCTGTTGGAAGAAGGATCGAGGCGGAAATCGGGCTACCTAAATGCTCTGGAGGTCAGGGGAGAGGCGAGGTGTTCTTTTGTGTTGCAATGTGATCAGTGCTGCCCTGAGACAGGGCAACTTCCATCATAAGGTCCCTGATGACAAACCGATTGTTGAACACAGATCACGTGTGATTCAATGTCCTACTAACTGCTCCAACACCAGTAACTCCGCCATCCATCATCCATCATCATCATCGTGAACCACCTCCCCATCAGCATTATCCATCTATTCAGCTAGCCTACGGTCATCAAAGATCTAATAAAATACTGTCATTGTCAATTTTCACTCATACAGCATCGTTTGGGCAAGCAACATGGCCCTTAACAGCTTCTTCCACAATAAGATCGAGTCGTTGGAGCTGGAGATCATCGAACGGAACTCTAAACTAAGAAGATTGGAGGCCCAGCGCAATGATTACAACTCAAGAGGTTGGTAGATCTTTTATGTATACATTCCTATTTATCACATCTACAGGATGAGACACAAGCTGGCACCAGTCTTAGAGACTTGTACTCTTTTAATGCGGAATAGCTACATGGCGGGGTCTTCGCGGGCCCTTGCCTTCTCTGATATTTGATATTACCTTTTGTCGCAACTTTGCTGTCCATAATCTATCCTTGATGTCTACGGATGCTGATAATATTTCTCTAGTTCGCCTTCTTAGAGAGGAGCTTGGATTACTCCAACAACCGGGTTCATACGTCGGAGAGGTCGTGAAGGTAATGGGTAGTAAAAGGGTTTTGGTTAAGGTTCACCCAGAAGGGAAATATGGTATGGTCTGATCAAGCTATAATGTTGGGAGGGGCCATCTGATTTTAGTGGTAGTTGTCGACGTTGCGGAAAGTGTCGATATCTCGAAACTCACCCCCGGCAAGCGTGTCACTCTCCTTTCAGATTCATATAGACTAGAAAGGATGCTGCCAAGCTCTGTGCGTCTTTCCCTACTTCTTATTAATTGAAGCTCAAGCTAATATCTTCAGGTTGACCCCCTTGTCTCTCTCATGATGGTCGAAAAGGTCCCCGACAGCACATACGACATGATTGGTGGTCTTGATCAACAGATCAAGGAGATTAAGGAGGTCATCGAACTTGGATTAAAACATCCCGAATTGTTCGAATCTCTCGGTATTGCGCAACCAAAGGGTGTCCTCCTTTACGGCCCGCCCGGTACCGGCAAGACCCTTCTTGCTCGTGCGGTTGCCCATCACACAGATTGTCGATTTATCCGTGTGTCTGGTTCTGAGTTGGTGCAAAAGTATATCGGTGAGGGATCTCGCATGGTTAGAGAGTTATTCGTAATGGCGAGAGAGCATGCACCCAGTATTATTTTTATGGACGAAATCGATAGTATTGGTAGCAGTCGTGTTGAAGGAAACTCTGGAGGAGATTCTGAAGTTCAGAGGACTATGTTGGAGCTGTTGAATCAGTTGGACGGCTTTGAGCCCACAAAGAACATTAAGGTTATCATGGCGACAAACAGATTGGATATCTTGGACCCTGCACTGTTACGGCCTGGGCGAATTGATAGGAAGATTGAGTTCCCTCCTCCAACGTATGTCTCACGCGATCTCACCTACTCTCTGATCAATTATTGACATCCTTATCTTAGTGTCGAGGCCCGTGCCGATATTCTTAGGATTCACTCCAGGTCTATGAACTTGACTAGAGGAATCGATCTTAAAAAGATTGCAGAGAAGATGAATGGTTGCTCTGGCGCTGAGCTGAAGGGTGTGTGTACTGAGGCGGGAATGTATGCCCTCCGAGAACGGCGAATTCACGTAACGCAGGAAGATTTTGGTATGCGATCCCCCTCCTCAGTATTATTTCACCTGTTAACAACCTTTATTCAGATCTTGCAACGGCCAAGGTTCTTAACAAGCACGATGACAAGGAAATGTCATTGTCCAAGCTGTGGAAGTAGGAGGTTTACCATTCTGTATTCTATATTCACTTCTTTTTTTGAGGGCAGGCCAAAACATTGTCTAGATTACCGCTTTGATTGCCGTGATACATACCCGGTCTACACTGTACACTTTCGTACTTATACAAGCCCAGTTTTCATTTTCATGTCTAAGCGATCATTTCTCAAATTTGAACGCCTTCCAGGCCAGAAGCGACCAAGATAGCCCGTCTCAGGTCACTCAGTCCCACTTTTTTCTCTCCCTTCTTCGCAGGGTCTCCAGCTGTAGCCAGAATCTCCCCAAGGCCAGCATTGGCACCGGGGATTCCATTTTCCATGAGATCACGTACCTCCTTGAATAGCTTTTCTAAATCCTTTGGCTTGACCCTGTCGATTTTCGATAACACAATCTGGTATGAGATACCCTCCTGCCCAAACTGTTCTAGAAGCTGCAAATCGTTCTTTTTAAGTCCATGCTTCGCATCAATCAGCAAGAAAGCACGTCGGAACCTATATATGCTAATATCAGTACGCCACCTCCAAATATGTCAATAAACCAAGCCCACATACTGTTTTCGTGACTTTAAGTACTTCATAATCTGCACTCCCCATTCCTCTCTAGAGGCATGCCCATACCCCGGCATATCTAACAACACCAGCTTCCCGTCCGCGATACCAAATGCATTCATGAGCCTCGTTCGCCCAGGCTTAGACGATGTATATGCCAGGTTCTTGTTATTTAGCAACGCATTCAGCAGCGAAGACTTTCCTACGTTCGAGCGGCCGAGAAACGCAACCTGTCTATAGTATTAGCAGAGCATTGAGGTAGAACAAAGAAAAGGGAGACCTCACACCTCAGGCACGTCCCCAAAATCAATCTTCTTGAACTTAGCCTCAGACCACAGATGCTTGGGCGGGTATTTGAGGAAGAAGCGGTCGGCGTCAATGAGCTCGTCGGGGGTAGGAGCGAGCGTCTCCCAGCGGTAGGAGTATGGGGTGAAGCTCTCGGGGATGAGGTCGGAGAGGTGCAGGCGGGGTTCTCTGACGCGCGGTTCCTTGGGAGGTTTTGGAGCACGCTCTGTGGGCTCAATCTCTGCATATGATTCGGCCTTTGACGTGCGCGAGTGGTGGGCGTAGTCGCCTGAATCTTCTTCATATGCCCTGCTCTTTGAAGAGCGCTGACGGGAGCTGTAGGCGCTGACCTCGTCGTTTTCTTCATGGCTCTGATATCGGGGCTGTGACTGGGGTCGAGCCCTTGAGGCGTGCTGACGGGGCGAGTAGGAGGTTATCTCCTCCTCTTCGTATTCTCTAGAGCGCTGTCTCGGAGTGTAGCTACTGGTTTCCTCCTCCGCATCGTAATCTCTGTTTCGGTATTGCGATTGCTGTAGTTGCTGACGACTGGCCGGTATACGGCTCTCCTGCAGTGCGCTACGAGTTGGCGAACTGAGCTTACTAGGCGGCTTGTAGCGGGTGAGTGATTCTGCTTCTACGCCTTCAGGCACATGGGGGTGCGGTTGGTAGTGCGCGGGTGAGGCTTGTGGGGGTGCGCGAAGGGAAGACCGTATATTTGGGCGGATACGAAGGTGACGGACGAAGATCTTCATGGCTGTCAGTTCTTTGGAAATGCGCTCTGTGGTGGTGGAAATGGTTGTCGCAGGTACGGGATTGACGCACAATGACGGAAGTGAAGAATTAAGCTGTGGGTTAGGGGTGGATTGGTATTCGTCATGGATAATCACTCGGCCAAGCGAGTGAGGAAACGTCAGGACATAAGAATCCAAAACCAACCGAGAGCGAAGGTGCAGTATTCCGGCCCCATTTTGGCTGGTCGCTTCACTTTGTTTATCGCAACTGTCCCCGGTAATCATAACCTACTTACAGCACTACATGTAGTTTCGTTGTCTCTGATATCATCCCATACTGGCAGCCGTACTCAACAGATGACACTCACCCAAGAGCGACTATAACGGTCATTTCTCACGCTTTATAAAGTCGAGGGGGTAGAGTGGAAGGAATATTATTGATGTCGTTATAGTGCACTCACCCTACAGAGTTACTATAGAGTAAGGGTCTACTCTATATATATACCCTTATTTAAGCCTGCTCGTCAAATGGAGTTTCCGACGCTGTAAACGGTTACAGTATGTCGAGATCGTTGAGAGGGCCTGGTCAATATCGACCCCAGAAGAGGCTCTGTTTGCTCCCCTCCATGTTTGGCGGGGTCGGTCCTGCCTCTCTCATCTTGTTACCCGGCCTCACTGCGACCGCCCCACGAAATTTTCCTCTGGTCGCAAAAAAATAAAATAAGGCAAGGAAAAAAAGCTTCCTTTCTCTCACTTACAACACAACCACAAAACCCCATTTCAAACAGCAAACCTTCAAAATGCCAAGTGAGTTTGCCATTATACAAATAGCTTATATGTCAATTTGTTAGAATTTGAATTGACATACATTGTCCCTCTGCAGAGAAGAAGTCAAAGCGTGTTCCCGTCCGCCTACGACACAAGATCGAGAAGCGCAGTGCTGAGAAGCAGCGCAAGGAGCGTAAAGATGCAAAAAAGCACCCTGAACTCCACAGGGGAAAGAAGACGGAGAAATTGAACATCCCGAACAGTTTTCCCTACAAGGATCGACTACTTGCGGAGATTGAGGATGGCCGAAGAGCGAAAGAGGAGGAACAGCTCAAGAGAAGGGAGGCTGCAAAATTGAGGAAGAAGGCTGCTGCGGAGAACGGTGAAGATGTGATGGTGGATGCTGACGAGGTTGACGAAGAAGAGGAAGATATGTCCGAGGAAGAGGAGGACAGCGATGAGGACATGGACGAAGGAGTGGGTTTTCTCTAGCCGACCCTAACCAATGCTTAGACAGTTACTAACTGTCTTTCCTTAGAATGGAACTTCAGCAATGGCAGCTCTTCTTGCCTCCGCCCGCGCCCGCGCCGCTGAGTACGAAGCCGAGCATGGTGTCTCCAGCGGCGAGTCAGACACAGAGGAAAACGAAGACGAAACAAACATCACAAAAGATACCTCCCGCAAGGCTTTTGACAAGATGTTTAAGCAAGTCGTTGATGCCGCCGACGTTGTCCTCTACGTCCTTGATGCCCGTGACCCCGAAGGGACTCGTTCCCGCGAGGTAGAGCGTGCCGTTATGGCTGCAGATGGCGGCGAGAAGCGTCTGATCTTAATCCTCAACAAGATCGATTTGATCCCGCCGAGCGTTCTCAAGGGGTGGTTAACTTACCTCCGCCGATACTTCCCGACGCTTCCCCTCCGTGCCAGCAACTCTGCAGCTAACGCTCACACTTTCGACCATAAGGCACTTACTGTCGCCGGCACTTCGGCTGCCTTGTTGAAGGCGCTCAAGACCTTCGCTCACAGCAAGCAGTTGAAGCGCTCAGTATCAGTTGGTGTGATTGGATACCCCAACGTTGGAAAGTCCTCCGTCATCAACGCACTCTGCGGCCGTCTCGGTGGATCTCAAGCATCCTGTCCCACAGGAGCTGAAGCCGGTGTCACCACATCCCTCCGCGAGATCAAGCTCGACAAAAAGCTCAAGCTCATTGACTCCCCTGGTATTGTCTTCCCAGGCAGCACTGAGAGCTCATCGCAGGACGACCAGGCGCGCCTGATCCTCCTAAACGCTATCCCACCCAAGCAGATTGTCGACCCTGTCCCCGCGATCGCTCTGCTGATCCGTCGTCTCTCCACCTCAGACGCTCTATTTGCGAAGCTGCTTGCGCTGTATGACCTCCCTCCGCTTATTAACACAAGCGCCAAAGACGTTGTCAACGATTTCCTTGTACAGGTTGCTCGCAAGCGTGGAAGGCTCGGAAAACGTGGTATTCCTAACATTGATGCTGCCGCAAAGACGGTAATCATGGACTGGCGTGATGGGCGCATCCAGGGCTGGATTGACCCTCCAGCACTGGCGAACACTATAACTGCTGTTGCGGCTGCAGCAGCGCAGGGTGGAGTCAAGCAGGTCTATGAGGAGGTTGGAGAGAGCGACCAGAAGGAGATTGTCAAGGAATGGGCAGCAGAGTTCAAGCTGGAGGGTCTCTGGGGTGATGATGGTGTAGAGGAAGAAGTGCAAGAAGTAGAGATGCAAGATTAGCTTTTTGTTTGAGGACTTTTCTTACTACTTTTCTTCGTGCTGGTCTCTTTTTCCTACCATTTTCTATATTTCTTTTTGTAGTCATGTGTGGCATTTTTTTTGTATGATATAGGACAGGCTGTAATTTGTTCGACGTGGAGTTTTCGGGACATAACAAACGATAACGAATGTCAAAAGTTGTGGGTTTTTTGTTTACTTTGCTTTACTTTGCTGCTTCCGTAATCAGTGCGAGCTATGATCGATGAGTCGAGTAGACGCTGTTTTGTGGAAACCCAGGTGATACTTTTCAATATTGTCAGCTTGTCGTACAGCAAGTGTGTCGAAGAATAATAAAAATGAGAATTATATTTCTTCTATTGGCTGGGTAACTTGAGTTGTTCGTGACAAGCTGAGAAGTTGTCAATTGATATCATGACGGGATAACTCGGGTCGGCTTGCTGAAACGATAGGTGAGTTTGAAGCCACCACTGGAAAGGTGCTTACGCACGGATGAGCCATGTGAGAATTTATTTGATGCAAAGCTTTCAATAGGCGGTACTGCGGTGTTGCTACGTATTACAAGCTAAAGGCCAATGAGGGACTTATAATTATATACAGGGCCCGATTTGGCAGTGTACAAAGAAATAGTTAGCTGCCACAGTTGCCACGGCAGTGGATGCCGTGAGTTTTACTGTGAATATCAAAAATATACATTTCACTTCATTTCACGTCATTTCAATCTTATCATTTTCGTCTTGTTTTACTAGGCCCAAATATATCAATCACGGAATAGCCATTTGAATGTTGAGAATATATGATATATTGCGATTTGATATCGAAATCTAAGCTCTAAGTATCAATCATTTCTCCTCGTCTAGTTGATCCTCTTCTACATCCCTTTCTTCTCTCCTCTTTCTCCACTCCCTGACACCCTCATCAACCACACCCGGTTCCATACCATCTAGCACATGCACCATGCACACTCCGAGTTGACGATCGACCTCCGCATTACGATGTTCATCATCAAAGAACAGCATATCCTCATAGTCAATGCCAGTTTCTTTCATCAATCGCTTGAAATGGGTGATCTTCGAGCCTGGGTAGATCTCCATATAATCAAAGTACCCAATCGCCTTCTCTCCCTCAATCTCAAGGAGCGAGAGCGCTTGCCTCGCTCCCTGCGGGGAATGAGTTCTTGATGCTGCGGCAATTGGTATATTCCTTGCGCGTAGAGCATGTAGAATACGCGGCACAGAATCATAGAAGCCGTAAGGCGTGTCTACACGGTCGAGGACTGTTGTAGGGTTTGAATACCGGAATGGGAGCGTGGGGTGCGTGTCGACCCAGAATGGCCATAGAGTGTAATCCAGATCGAAGGCGAAGAGTTTAGGTAGTGGACCTCCATCCGTAAATGTTTCCGGAAGGACTGCCCCCACGGTGGAGGAGTCTGGAGCAACAGTCTTTGTTCTTCTCGGCATACTCTCCTATATCAGATATCAGTTACGAGGAAGATTATTCGATCATTTGGCGGGGTTACTGGATGGTTACCCGGCTGCGGAGCTCCCTCGAGGTCCAGAATTACCTAATAAAGTATTAGTGGGGGGGGGAGGGTCTGCAGGCGGCTGTCGGGAACTGATACTACATCACCTTAGTAATAATCCCGCCACCACCCCCGGTCTGTTTCAAAGACCTCAACTCACCCCCCCCCCCCGCCGCGTTCTCTAATCGCGCCTGCATCTCCCCTCAACCTCCAATTGAACTTGACCGCCACTATGGCAACTTTTGCTCGCCTGGCTGCGAAGAGACTATGCTTCGCCCGGCCGTCCGCCTTTAAGGCGAACCCGCCGGCGCTGAAGGCATTCGCCATACGCCCATTCTCGAACACAATAATATCGAGGGCGGAGGCGTACACACCCACTACACTTACGGAGTCTGGCCCTGCAGGGGCGGCGCTCGATGCTGCTTGTGGGTTGACTGTGGCGGGCGGATGGATACAATATAGCCGGGCTAACTCTTGGGCAATCAGTTATTACGGACGACGCCAAACACGATCCTACTGCGATCGAGAACAGAAAGATCAGACACTATACCGTCAACTTCGTATGTCGCCACTCAAACGATATACTGCAGAGGAAGATAGGGAAGGCTGACCGAATTGGTTTCGATAGGGACCCCAACATCCGGCTGCTCACGGAGTGTTGAGATTGATTCTGGAATTGAACGGAGAGCAGATCATTCGTGCTGATCCTCACGTCGGACTTCTTCACAGAGGTACGGAGAAGTTGATTGAGTACAAGACGTACTTACAAGCTTTACCATACTTCGATCGTTTAGATTACGTTTCCATGTGAGTTTGTATTCGCCTCCGGCATTATATCTAGGGAATTGCAGAAATTAATTGATTATATAGGATGACCAATGAGCAATGTTTCTCACTGGCTGTGGAAAAGCTACTTAATGTTGAAATTCCGATACGAGCTAAATTCATCCGTACTTTGTTCGGGGAAATCACTCGTATCCTTAACCATCTCATGTCTGTCTTGTCACATGCTATGGGTAAGCCCTTGCATCAATTTTTCAATAATACCGGAAAGAAATATCATGATAACACATGTTCCTAGATGTCGGTGCCCTGACGCCCTTCTTGTGGGGATTCGAGGAGCGTGAGAAGTTGATGGTATGTCACCTATCTACTCTATTTTCCCCACATCGGATAAATTCTCACTTGCCACCCAGGAATTTTACGAACGTGTGTCTGGTGCTCGTCTCCACGCCGCCTATGTCCGCCCCGGCGGTGTCCACCAGGACATCCCCATCGGTCTCCTTGACGATATCTACCAATGGGCCACCCAATTCGGTGACCGCATTGATGAGACTGAAGAGCTGCTTACCGACAACCGGATCTGGGTCGCCCGTACCAAGGGTATCGGTGTCGTCTCCGCTGCTGACGCACTCAACTACTCCTTCACTGGAGTCATGCTCCGTGGTTCCGGTGTTGCCTGGGATGTCCGTAAAGCTGCCCCCTACGATGCCTATGACCAAGTAGATTTCGATGTTCCTGTGGGTATTCACGGAGACTGCTATGACCGTTACCTCTGCCGCATGGAGGAGTTCAGGCAGTCGCTCAGAATCATCCACCAGTGCCTTAACATGATGCCTTCCGGTCCTGTCCGTGTAGAAGACTTTAAGATTTCTCCGCCACCAAGAGCAGCAATGAAGGAGAACATGGAGGCGCTCATCCACCACTTCCTGTTGTACACTAAGGGTTACGCTGTTCCCCCTGGTGAGACCTACAGTGCCATTGAGGCACCGAAGGGTGAGATGGGTGTGTTCGTCGTTTCAGATGGTAGCGAGAGGCCGTATAGATGCAAGATCCGAGCACCAGGTTTCGCGCATTTGGGATCGTTTGATCAGATCTCTAGAGGACATCTGTTGGCTGATGCCGTCGCGATTATTGGAACCATGGATTTGGTGTTTGGTGAGGTAGACAGATAAAGGTGTTTCAGTCAGATGTATAAAGAAGCGAAATATATAGCAGAGCATTGCATCGCATGAGGTTATAACTCATATTGTTTGAATTTTGGGATAGATTATATCCGTGTGTTTCAAGAATTAACCTACTTTTTTTTCTTTCTTTTTTTGAACTTATATATAACCTTTGAGATTTACCCACCATCACCAACCATCACTCGTCACAAGAACCACCAGTAATAATTTTTACTATCCATATTTATGGATTAGAGTTACGTGGAGAAAATACAGTTGATCATCGCGGGCAAATGAGTATACGAAATAACATCCCTCATCATCTGACAGTGTCTAATATCAAGATGAAACGAATATCAATCTTGACAACGATCACGAAAAAAGTAAGACAGCTAAGTATTTTGTTGGTGCCATACCTTCCTTGTGATCTGTGATCATTGTGTTCTTTGATATTTCAAACCAGAGGTTTATGCCGTTTTATTTGGTGGAAGACGAATTAATCTGAAACATAATTTTCTGCATGGCAAATGTTGAATAAATCTTAGACCCTGAGACCCCACCATCGTTATTGGCTTGTGAATTTTCTAGGTTGGATTACTCCAGTCGTTGGAACACCATGGCTTACACTACTCCTAGCCAAGAGGTACGGGTAAAGGGAACGATTGGTACATATATCTCAAGTCGCCGACATTCACTGTGTAAGTGGCCCCCAAGCCAGACTAAAACACATCCTACCACACCGACCTCTCCATCATATCTGCTAGAACCAATTGAACATTTGCCTACACTAGATGCATTCTGGAAAACTAACCATGTAAAGGAAGCTGGGAATACCTGGAATACGGTAACATAGATCAAATGACGTCCAGCAAAGGGAATCGATGCATGCCAAGAAGGCCACCTACAGTTACAGTAGAGTACCCTGAGTAGGGCACATATACGTGTAGCCATAGCTACACCCTTTTCCTCCGAATGTTACAAACAGGTTTCGCGCAGAAGACATTCATCACGCAGATCGACAGGCCCCCAAGGCAATAATAAAATACGTGACTATCCGAGGGCTGAGGAAAGTCAGGTTGATATGTATGTAGGTGCCCCACGCAAGTACTACGTAATGAAAAGAGAAGACATGATTGAGGAGAATATCATGGTCGGCCCGGATTGACCCCTCACCTGGAGAAACGGCCGGTTATCTGCTCCTCTGTCAACGGTTTCCGCAATGTGCATAGCCTGTTGCATGCGCCAGTTATTTTCTAATTCGATCTCGCAGCTGTCAAGAAAACTCGTGGTATCCAAAACGTGGCTGTGTTGTTAGCCAATTAAATTGCGTGATCCACTACACGACCAGGGCAGCACACCCAATTGTATGCACGCCCTCGTTTTGTCCGAGTGATATGTGATATGGCAGTGCTCTGGTTAATAATTAATTACATGCAAAATACGCGTCACAGAGAGTCACTCGGATCTCGGTGCCAATTCTTGTCGCGATGGCGGAGTAAAAAAGCACTCGTAATTGTAGAGAATTCTGCCAGGCGCGCGCAGTATGAGATTCGTATGCTAGTGATTCGTATTCTAGAGATTCGTATGCTAGAGACGGTTTTCAATGACGACTCCATTTGGCAGCCTTGAGCTGGCTTTCATAGCCGGAGCTAAAGATATGCATTCGCTGCAGAACTAAAACCTGAGGGCTTTAGAGGAATATTAGTAAAGTTTTGAGAACAAGGGGCATATATGGGAGTGTTGATCACGGTGATGAATCATATGCCTGGGGGCTGGGGTAGAGAAACTAGGGCTAGGTAAGAAGGTGCTGGAGGCTCACACAAGTGCTCGTGTTCGCAAAGGTTTTTGGTCTTCATACAGTTAAATCCAGAACATCGCAAACTGAGGGTCCAATGGCTCAGGACCTGATATGATACCGTATAATGTATGATAGGACATCTATGCAAATAATTCTTCATAATTTAAGCCACGCGGATTAGTTTCTTGACCAGACGGTTGCAAAGTAACAAAATATATACCATTACCGTACGGTATATACATGTATATCATGCACGTATTACAATTCAGCCCTATACTCGGGATATACCATCAGTGCATATAAATCAGTCTCACTCAAAAAGTGCATGTCTCGGGGAACTTAGGCTCGGTAATCTTCACTGTGTTAAAGCAATAGATTACTTACTCTAGAGTATTCTAGAGTACCTATGTATGTACAGGTTACATACAATTGCAGTTTCTGAAACCGTAGATTAAGCGTGCATTAGCAAATACTCTACCGAGGTGTATTCAGCTTGCGTTCGTTCAAGACATCCGAGCCCACGCGAGCTCAATGCACCACGCCTGAAAATACTTCCTTAGGAACCTGCAACAGCAACGACAACTCAATTGACAACGGCTCGATGAGGTCTGTGGACTCGAAAATAAAATAAAATAATAACAAATAAAAGTAGCCACAATCTCAGCTGAGAGCTGCTGTGCAGTGCAGTTCTTTGAAGCCAACCGGCCGCAGATAATCCCGTGTCGAGTGTAATGCCCCAAAGTCTTTGACCTTCCTCACATCGGTCATAGCGTCATCTCCCCTTTTTCTTATTTTTAGGTGTAAGCTACTTACATGTACCCTATGCATTTTTCGGCTTTTCTTACTTCGACGGTTGGGATTTCTGACTAGGGCGGCCCGTTGAAGGATAGCCCATTACCAGCTCTCTGGTTGTTCCTGCATAGAGTACACGAGTGACAATATGATATATCAAGTTTGTTCTATACCTGTATTTGGATCTCCCATGCATATTTACATAAAATCTTCAGGCAGGAAAGCAAGGGAAAATGAAAACAAAACGAAAAACTGAAAAAAGAAATAGGAAATTTCAATCCACAACCCTGTCATTGATATCATCCACGGAACCAAAAGAAACGGAAAAAGAAGGGAAAAAACACCGGAGGAATATGATTTTATGATATGATTGTAATAAAATAAATTCCAAAACAAATTGATCAATCCTGTCTTTTGAATAACTCCGCGGGATTAGATGCTTCATCTTCAGAGAGAATAGCTTCCTTATTGTCGAATACAGTTTCAACCTCTGTCTTCTCGAGCGGAATATAATCGTTTGTAGTATTAGATTCGGGCTTTGAGTAAAGCCATGTAGCCAGAAGGACAACGCCGGAACCAATCATAAACTGTTAAAAGTTGGTTAGCCCCAAATATAAGCAGCAGAAAAGGAAACTTACATTAATGGTAACCTCAAAATCGAAGAAATAAACGCTCGCCAAACAGCTAATCAAGATGCTAATGCTAGTTGCAAAGTTCTTGGCAATATTATCCGCAAAATTCACACAAAGTGCCACAACAATTCCCCCTGCAGCTTGGAACGCAATTGCGGTCCATACAACGCCATTATATCCGTCAAAAAAACCTCTGCGCATGATTTCCGATCCATCTACGAACGCAACTCCAATAAAAAAGGCGGGGAATAGCGAATAAAACGAAAGCTGAATGTTCCGGACCCAGAGAGTTGCGCTTGAACCTTTGAGAACTTTCTCAAAGTATACACCAGCTAAACCAGAGATCGTGCATGCAATTGCGACAGCTAATAACCCAACTGCTCGGTTCATTTGTAGTTCCGCAGAATTATCACTGTGGGTACCATCATCAGTTGTTGAACGGCGCTGGTGGCTACCATCAGTGCTTTCCGAGGGCTGTGATTGTGTTGAAGAACCAGGAGAGGGCAGCTGGACAATTCCAACACCTATTGTCAACAGTACTAAAGATACCCATTTCCTCAAAGAAAGACTCCTATGTAGCATTGTAACGCTAAACAGAGCAGTGGTCAGAATTTTAAGCTGGTAGGTGACTTGGAAAGTCGCAGCATCCAGATTAGACACGGCAATATATTGAAGAGTGTTCTGAAGTGTGTAAAGACATGCTGGAATGGCCAGCTTCCAGTTATCTGGGCGAAAGACCTCGGTGTAAAGTTGTCTCACAGACTGAGACATCGTAGTTGTTGGGCCGTCTATTTTACGGCGGTCCCGAAGTGCAACCCAGACACAGATAACAAGCTTGATAACTTCATTGAGGAATACTGCTGTTGAGGTAAAGTATCGATGTTGAGATGTCATGGGCATGACGCGGGAGTAGTGCATTATCTACAATCACGTGTGAGTAGGTGAGATCCATGGCAGAGCATAGACGTAGGTGGCTTTACAAGTATCAATGCTGAGTTTTGAAATGTTAACTATATTATAGTTATCGAAGTTAGCTTGCCATTAACTACATGTATCGGCCTGCATTTACTGAAAGAAGGGGGCGTTGTACTGTAACAAGTGATAAGTGCTTCATTGGCACGCCCATAAAGGAGGGAACTTCGGGGGTTTCGGCCACCATGATGGCGGCTTGGCTATTCGTAGGGAGATATGGGAGAGGCGATTGACTGATATATATCGATCCTATCAATATGGTGGTGGTAGTGGTGATAGTGGTGTTGAATAGGTGGTGGCAGTGATCGAGGGACGAGTGAAAGCAAGGGACAACAACGGGCTGTAAATGTTGCCCGGCGATAATAGATGATGCTAGCTTTGTCAGACCCAAGATCAGGACGGTATAGTTTCTTCAGTGAATTCGCGGCAGTCCCTAGATCTAGGTATCGTTGTGTTCAGGGGGCGGCGACAACAGTGCTAATGTTCCGTTCTGGAGCCTACATGTACTCTACAGCGATGGGCATGGCTTGGCAAGTACCAATACATACGCTAATACGCTAGCCACACTCACTAGAGTGGATGTGGCTTTTTTTTCGACATCGGCAAGAAAAGTCACCATAAGCCCGTCCAGAAAAGGTACGGGATTCTCGAACACCCACATACCCGGTATATATCACAGTTCACCGTGAATATTCATTTATTTACATGGGCACCCCTTTGGGATATCATCCCTACTGGCAAGACGGAGGCTCCCCCGATGAGACCAGAGCTTGATCTCCTTGGAGAGAATATGACGCTATGGATATGCCCGGGACCCATAAAACAGGGCAGTGATAGTAAAGTTCTCGAGGTTCTATAGAACGCATTATCTATTAGGATAGCGTTTTAATACCTCTAGAAAGGGCTTTATTGGCTGTAATTTTTTTCATTACTATAATTGTAAGAGGTTAGCCGTAAACATTGGACAATTTGTACGTCAGGCAGCAAGTGCTTTATAGTACTGGGGTCATCTCAGCTCCCAAATCTTACTTTGAAAGGGACGCCTCTCCTCCTTCTCTTTCTTCTATTCCTCCTTCGTTACAATTCAAAATTCAAACACCCCCTTTCCAAGACCTTTTAATTTGTGCTCTTCCCACTCTGCCTCTGTCGCCTAGTCGCGCTTTTTTATTGTCTCCAAGCTCTTCCCCACACCACTATCTACCAGATCTAAAAGCACAGCCTTCGGGCGCCTGAGACTCTAACAGGTTCGCTTCCGAATTTTCGCTGATAATCCTCGTTTCGCATCACAAGGTCGTTATTACTTTGGACTCCTCAGAAGGACTCACTCACAACGTTCATCTGCGTTATCTAGCGCCTGATTGTTAGCACTTTACCGCTCGCTCGTGCGTCCATAATATACTTAGGTCACCTTTCGGCACCTACCACAGAATCTTTCCTACCCGTGAGAGGGACCCATAATGATGTGTAAGTACATCACTTTAGTGGCTGTACACGCCCCATAATTTACGGACCAAATATATATGCCCTTCCCCTCCCCATCTTCCCCTCCATCTAAATGTCATTTTGAACCCATCACATATCGATGATACTTTTTGAAATATTCGTTCTTTCCCGTCCAGCTTTACGTTCCTCTTCATCCCTCTCAAATATCCGCTCCTTCAGCCTTTAAATTTAGTTCACCAAGAACCGGAGTTCTTATTAAATCAGTCGAAGTGTTGGACCCAAAGCTAACCACTACCGGCACCGTGCCATATTGGCGCCGTTGCTGGAATACTTTAACAGGGGCTTTAAGGCGTAAAACAAACACAATTGCTCGTCGACGTACTAAGAGCATTCCGACAGAAGTTATGAACGGGCACACAAACGGAGAAACAGCGCCTCTCCTACCGCAATCCAATGGCCATAGAAGTTACAGCGGCCACAGCAGCAACAGCTTCGTTCATAGAAGTAAAATCTCTGTGCAAAATATCAGCAAAAGCTTTTACCATAAATCGAAGCTCGTCCTCTTAAGTAATTACGTTAACATATTGCTTATTTTTGTGCCATTGGGTGTATTATCTGGATTCTTGGGCTGGAATCCAACTGCTACATTTATACTAAACTTTTTGGCCATCATTCCACTTGCGTCTTTGCTTAGTTTTGCTACCGAGGAGCTGGCCTTGGTTGTGGGCGAAACTCTTGGGGGTTTATTAAATGCTACATTTGGAAATGCTGTCGAGTTGATTGTAAGTATTCTGGGAGAACTTGACGCAGTATATGAAGACAATTTTAACTAACATTATTCTTCCTTTGTAAAGGTCAGCGTGGTCGCTTTGACCAAGGGAGAGATTAGGATCGTGCAAGCCAGCATGCTGGGAAGTATTCTATCTAACATTCTTCTGGTATGTTTGGATTAGACATGGAGTTTCATCATCCTCATCCAGAAAGCTCGATTGACAATTTTCTGTTTTAAGGTTCTTGGAATGTGTTTCCTATTTGGTGGAATGAAGTATAGGGAACAAACCTTCAACACTACGGTCGCTTCTACCATGTCCTCCCTCATGGCCGTCGCCACTGCTTCATTAATCATTCCTGCAGCGCTCTACTCAACCGTGGATGTCTCGAAAGAGGAGGGATTTTCTCTTGTCCTTAATCTCTCCCGAGGTACTTCGGTCGTTTTACTCATCCTCTATGTACTTTATCTGGTTTTTCAACTACATACACACTCCGACTTCTTCGACGCGGAACTTCAGTCCGAGGACCAGGAAAATACCTCCCAACAAGATAGCAACGAACAAGATACCCCTATCCTTACAGTTATCGAGTCTGGCGTTGTCTTAGTTGCTGTTACACTCGCGGTTGCTGTCTGTGCTGAATACTTGGTTGGCTCGATTGACAGTGTTGTTGGGAGCTCTGGAATTAGCAAAACATTCATCGGATTGATTTTGATACCAATCGTGGGAAATGCAGCTGAGCACGTTACAGCTGTGGTGGTGGCGATGAAAAACAAGGTTTGTATTTGCCTTTTACACAATCTGCACACTCCAGTCACTGTTCATAGTAGTCCCAGCCTGTTCAAAAAAGAACGTGGATGGGTTCTTTGGCACAGTTTCCTTTTCTTTTTATGCGCTCATGCAGCTCATGCAACTCATCCTTGCAAGATGTACCCCACTCATTCAGCCCCGACAACCTCATCACATTTCTGCCTAGTCCTTTGAGTAGAGCTCTAGCACCAGAATCTATTGTCGTCACTCATCCTCAGCGTATAAGCACATGTCGCTTGTAAGAAGTACACTGACACTATGGTTTTAGATGGACCTTGCAATTGGAGTTGCGATAGGAAGTAGCATGCAGATTGCACTTCTTGTTACACCAGCCCTTGTTATTCTCGGATGGATTATTGGGCAGCCAATGAGCCTTTACTTTCAGACTTTCGAAACAGTGGTTTTCTTTATGAGCGTCCTTATTACAAATTATCTGATACAAGATGGGAAGAGCAATTATCTCGAGGGGGCTATGCTACTGGGAATGTGAGTACAACTATGTTGAAGCCTACCATTGTCGGCTTTTTGTTTGGTGCTATAGTTCTTGGCATCGTGCCGCGATAAGATTGGATAAATGATGGTTACATTTGATTCAGGGCTGACTGTTTTAACTTATAGATACACCATAATTGGGATAAGTTTTTATGTGTACCCAGATTCAGCTGGAAATTCGGGTCCACCCTATTAAGTTACAAATACACCGCCTCAACTCTTTATTTTCTAAACAACGCACACATATCATAATCACCAATAGACCGCCAAACAAGGAAAAGAAAAACGCAAAAGATCAGTGCTGAAAGACTCAGGGCCCCCTCGACGCTCATGTCAACAACACACTTGATGTTACACGATTAAGATACTTGCATTTATTTTCTCAGTGGATAGCAACATAACAACAGTATTGCGTCTCATGTCTCCTAGCATTTACTCTTTATCGCCAGAATGCACAGGGCGTGAAATATCTTACTCTTAGTTTGCGCGCCTTTTCTTTGTCTAAATTGTGTCTCATTCCGGGCACCTCTTTTCCTTCTTCGTTTTCATATGTATTGATAGCATGGATTATTCTGAATTGGGTGTTTACGGGGTCTGAGGTGGTCGGTCAGGTCTCTTTATCTTGCTTCTTTGACTTGTAGTTTTTGTTTGTATTTTTTTTTTTGGCCTGGGAAGCAGGGCCTTGTACTATCTACATATGGGACCTTCCTTTCTTATTTCTCTACCTTTTCCAATCACAACTACTCGCGACAGGCATGAAGTACCCGAATATGCAGCTGCAAGTTTTTGGTGTACTTTTGACTTCTACTCCAATGGAAATTGCAGATTAGGACGTGCATTTTCGGGTACTTGTTACCTGCTGCGAGTACGCGACTGGATTTTTCTGGGTTGGTTCCTTTGTTGATGATTGGGTTAGCAGCCGATGCTGGCCGCCGGGTTGGGTCACTACATGTAGTGTCTTGCCCACCATCATGCGCTGTTTCTTTACCGCCCCTTATACACCTTGTTGCCGTCGATGAAACGACCATTGGCTATTTGGCGCGATGGAATCAGGTTCTACTAGTAGGAAGATTGTTGAGTGAGGCTGTCTGGCGATTTGATATTCAACGCCGCGCTGTGACGTCGGTTGGATGGACTTTCGAAGCCTCGCTTGTCGACTTTGTCGGGTACAAACATGTAGGAATCGGGTTAGTAGTTGGTAATACCCTGCTGCTGCTGTGCAGTAATACCACTACCAACTGTACGGTTACGGTGTTACTTTTTCTTAGTCTAATAAATAGTACATGTCTTGCAATCATCTTGTTGTGTCTTGGGAAATTTAGTTGATTACTTATTAACAAATGTCCGTCTAGGCATCAAGTACTTCTTCCCACGAGTACATACTATGAGTACATACTTACTTGGAGGCTGGGGGCTACAAACGCGCGGTTATATCTTGATCGATCACCGGAGCATCAGACGTTCGATAGATGAGAGGCACCTGAGGATTGAAATCACCCCGGGTGAATTCGAAGGCATCATCAGATCCAGGCTGTGTGTCTCGGATTTTTAAAAAGTCTTGGCTGTTTACTCTTTGTCCACTACCCAAATAATTACCGGACCTAGGCATGTTCCACACTTGGTATTGTCAATTAATGAATCCGTTACAGTATGTACATGTATGTACATACATATTGTCCTATTTGTAATTAATGCTGACATCAATTATGGACCAGGCTATTCTCCATTCTTGAGCCACCTGTCGATTCTTGCGCGAAGTCGCGCCGAAGCCTTGCTTAGACACTGCACTATATTTGAGGCATAATGAGGCACGAAGTTTGATACATAGAGCGCCTATTGACGCCGCACCGCATCTTGGATCGGAGTTGAGTGCGATTACCTAGGCCTAGGTAGCTGCCGAGAGAAGTGCAAAAGACCATCAACAGAACAGTATTCGCCGAGTAACCTCAAGATGGCTTGTAGCAGTTTCAGTCGGAATAATGCACTGCCAGATGGACACGAGGTGCATATCATGAGCGCATATCATATGCCACTTCTACTCTATTCCTCCATCATAGCCCCAGCCTTGTCGGTCGAGGTCGGTATTTAGCATAGGATCGGCAAGCATATCGATTGGCCCGATAACAGGTCGCATGGCACCTTTGGAAGTTTGGTACAATAGTTTATTCCACGGTACGGGCCTTAAAACCCCGCCGTACCTTTGGTCCTTGCATCCCGCGCGTGCGAACATCAAGGCTGCGCACGCACTCGGTCAAAGGCTCTACCACGCTTCATTTAGACTCGCCTGGCTTCCGATACGGCATTAAGCGAGGTCCATGTTATGTAGGTACAATACCTATGTAGGTACATCCAGGTCGATCACGGATCTGTGGGGTTACATTTCTTCTTCTTGTCCGACTTTGACCTTTTGCATAGCCTGGTGGAGGCTGGAGGTCAGACGATATCGCTGGGTCACAAAGTTCAATGAGGCATAAGAAAGGGGAAGGAGGAAACAAGGGAATGATATTGTCAGACGGTGCGCCGGATTGCTACTTAGTAAGCCAACAACATCATGGGCCTTGGTCAGAGTAATTCTCCGAGAAGCAGACGCCGCCTTCCGTCTGACCTGTAGCTGTCTATTTTCGACCAAAAAAAGAAGGGACAGCCTACTTACTCTCGACACTGACACTCCAGAATAATCCGGAATATTTGCTTAACGGTCCGACTTCGGTTCAGCCCTGCGTGCACCCTGCGCAGAATACCTATATGAATGTCTTATTAATGTTCCCCACACAGATGACGCAATTTCAACTTAGGCAGGGCGGGCAAAGTGGGCTATGCGGGTCTGTTCAAATGTCCACCGGTCTGAGAAAAAGGTTTCTGAGGGTATGACCACCTCCGCCCCACCCCCGCTCGGCCGGGTTTGGTACCCGTACGTGCGTGCATCGATGTCTCAAATGCGCTCTACATATATGTGCACTTTGTGGTTGTGTAGAGTAGTATCCCATGATAACTGGCCATGGCATCAGTCACGGATCTGGTAGTTCTGTATAATGCCTATCGGCACTTTTGACCCTGGCCTGAGGAAAACACATTCATGCCCAACGGGATCGACGATTGTGAAAAAAATTTCCCGTGGCCGTTGGAAAGCAACGCGGTGATTTATTGCGGGTAGAAGCCTTAAGATCTTCTATAGCCTCCGGTTCCTGCAGTTGCTAATCTACATTAAACCGGTGATCGAAATCCCGAAAGAATTAAAACTACTGTCACCTAATGTATCATGTGCTACTATCATGATCAGTAATATAATATCGTCAGGGGCGAAGCACTAGGAAAAGCAGAGACTTGTGAGTCGGAAAAAGCAACGCGCAACCGATATATGTCGCACTGTGCTGTACCACTACGAGGACGAGGGTGAGATGTCCTGTTGCCGCATCACAATTCACTCTAGTATCGTCAGGCTTTACCCTCACCCTAGTACATGCTTTAGAGGGAAATGCCTGCATACTAGATTCCATGGCTTAAGGTTTCGCAGCATAATCCCGTCGTCACTTATACAGACTGACCCTCTATACCCGAAGTACAAAACTCTACTCAGAGCTCCTGGTGACCCGAACTGATATACCCGCTCTGTGCCTCCCCCGTCACAGTAACGCCGCAGGAACTAGCCCGCAGCCCCCGAGTGAGATACCTATTGATTATGTAACTATGGCGCTAACTAAATGTGTACTCCTTGAGAAATTAAGTGCCATCATGTTGTATCACTCGGTGCTTTGGTATCGTGAATCGCGGCGGATTTCTGTCCGATTGGAGATGTTGATCGTGGTAGATCTTGGTCACCACAGGAAATGAGAAGCCCTCGCCAGAGTCGCAACCAGATGCTCGACTTCTCAAATTTGCTGTGTCACATCCAGGCTGGGAGCAGGATAATGATATCCAATAACGCAAACACGTGCACTTAATTATTTCTACGAGCAGAGATAGTGCTCATCAAATACTCTATTCTTCTGTGATCTGCATAGAGTACCGGTCTCTTCCAACAGAATTTGGCGGTATGTACACACTCTCCACAGCCCGACCAGATCGATATCCGAACCTACTTCTGTTACCATCCAGCCAGTACCTCCGCCCTTTCTCCTCCTCCTTCCTTCTTCTTCTGCAAGGAACAAAAGGCAAATGGAAGAAAGAAAAACCTTATCGACCCGAGTGACTCACCACACCGTAACTAGCTACGGCGATCACAAGACAACCGCCGCGCCGCCCGATGTTGTACATAGACACACACTCCGCCGATCATTGGCGGCCGGATCCGTCCATGTCGCCGACAATCTAAAACTCCGCCCGGAGTCTTATATCGGGACTTCTTGGTGGGGGTGGGGCTGGGGTTTGTGCTGGTTTGGTAGGTGAATAGTTTTGGTTGCAATTGGCTTGTGATGCGTCGTAAATCGATATGATATCTCGCTGTTAATATTGACTGCACATACATATGGGAGGGGCTGTTACGTGGGGGGGGGGCCTAGATGGTAGTATGATTCTATGAGTAGATCTTGCATAGACTCATATGTAGGTTGCGGTGTGCAGAAGTATGCCTGGGAGGGGGGGGGTAAGCACTCTCCAAGAGTGCTCATGGTTTGGAACCCAATCAAAACAGTGAGGCCAAAATTTACCTACCCATCACGAACATGCAACCGGTGATCGTTAGGCTGCAATACGTGCTTTAACCGACTCGCGGCCGGTAAGGCTGCAAGAGCAGGGCTGGGTGAAGCTGCCAGCCCCCGTCCTCAGTTTCGAGAATTTTTCTTGAGTGGAGTGAAAAGAGCTGTGGTTGGGTTGTTAGGTAGAGTTTTGATTGGATGGTGGACGGATATGAGGAGCTCGAGGAATTTGATGAAGAGGAGGAGGAGTAGGAGGAGGAGCAGAAGGAGCAGGAGGAGGAAAGGAAGTTGGTCCGGTGAAGGAAAAAAAAGCGGTTGTATTGGATTGACAAGCATTAATTACCCTGGGGTCATGCGAATAAACGGCCGTCTAAAGGTAAGGGGATTGATAATTTTAGTCAGATACTGTTCTTTTACCATGATTGGCGCTTTCAAAAGGAGTGGTTGGGTACGTATGTTAGAGCATCGAGATCTCTTATTAATCAAACACGCTGACCCGTATCGATGTTTTGTTTATGCTCCTCAAAAGATGTATTAGTAGTAGCTAGAGTTATAGTCGATC